CCCACACACACACACCAGGTTGTGTTTCCTGCGGCTGGTGCCCTATGAAGCTGGCCAGCTATCAATAGGTGACTACACCACTCCTGAACCAGCCAGGGAGGGAAGGCTGAGGAGGGAGGGTCTCCACCAGGTTGTTTGGTGGGGGTGTATCACAGAGCCAGTTATGGGGTGGCAGGTCCCTGGAGCTGGGGGGAGAGGAGGAAGGTGGGAGACAAGGCCCCAGGGCGCGGGGCCCTGGCGTGCGCAGTGGAGAGCCTGCAGCCAGTGGAGTTTCATTTCGTTCCGTTTCCCTTTGCCTCCCCAGAGGCTGTGCTGGCATCACCCGGGAGGCAGCGACCTGCTGAGAGCCGCCGGCTTTCACGCCGATTCAGACCCCGAGAAGGAAGACGTGAGGTATGAGCCTCGAGGACTTGGGAATGGGGTTGCGCTGCCCCAGTCTGGGAGCTCAGGGGAGCTGGGGTGGAAGACTCCCAAGGAAAACCCAGCTGCTCTGGGGGGGCCTCAATAGGGAGCGCTCTCCCCTTACAGTCAGTGCTGGCCCCAATGCCCCAGTGCAGCACTAAGGGGCGCTATGCTGCAGGGAGCCGTGTGGGTGATGTAATGGGGGTGCTGTCCCCTCATAGCTGGTGCTGACCCCAAAGCCCCAGTGCGGCACTAGGGGGCGCTGTGCTGCAGGGCTCCGTAACCCTGACCGAAGCAGTGATTCCACCTCCCCGGTGCGGCTGCGTTTCTCCGCAGGTCTGTGGAAGCGCTGATGCTCGCCGGCCACGCCCAGTGCGTGATAGTGGAGACTGCCGCCGACCTGCCCAGCCCTGCAGAGATCCAGCTCTCTTACCTCAAGCTTCGGGCCCTCTGCCTTCCTGGTGAGACCCGGCCTTGGCCCCGGAGCTGAGATCCCCTCTCAATAGGAGTCGCTCGCCTGAGCCGATGCCTGGGGAATCCCAGGCAGTAACTAACCAGCGCTTCAGCTGGGAGAACCTGGTTACTCTGGATTGGATCCCACTTGGGAATCCTGGGACCATTATCACTAGTTTGTATCTGATGCACCTGTGCTAGATTTCCAGTTTCCCCTCTCTTGCTCGAGGTGCTTGTCTAGCCCCACCATTGTCATAGTGTCTCGATGCTCTGGGTTATATCCTCCCAATCCCCCGGCAGGTGGGGAGGTATTACCCCTGCTTTATAGGGGGAAAGGGAGGCCCAGGGAATTACATGATTTGCCTAGGCTGATACTGTAACCCCCAGGCTCTCTCCCCCCTCCTGGAAGCAGCTGGCTGTTTGACGCAAGGAAGCCAGGGCTCCCTAAAACAGGCCTGACTAAAGCCAGAGCACGAGAGGCAGATGGGACTGGAGGGTCTCTTCCTTCCATGTCTCCTTCCTTGTCCTCTCTCTGGGACAATTCCTGACCTGCCACAGAAAGGGCAGCCCAAAGGAACTGAGGAGACCTGGGTTCTGTTCCCATCTCTGCCACACACTCCGTCTGATCTGGGCCAAGTCACTTTACCTCCTCTGTGCCTCATTTCCCCTGTCTGACCGGGGAGAATCGTTCGCTCCCTGCCAAGGGGGTGGTGAGGATTAAAACCCAGGAACGATAACATGGCGCAACGCGGATGGAGGCCGGATAAACCCCTCCGCAGCCAAGGTAGTAATTCGGCGTGGCTTCCTTTCAGACTCCTCTGTGGCCGATGAGAAGTGGCTCTCTGCCCTGGAGGGGACACGCTGGCTGGAGCACGTCAGGTAAGAGCTGCCCCCCATACGCTGACCCCTTAAATCCAGGCACACAGGCCCTACAGAACATTTGGCAGGTGGGTGGGGCTGGGTAGCTACCATCCCTCTGTTGGGAGCTGTCCCCAGCCGGGGGGGTGGAGCTCCCTGGGGGAAGTGGCTGGCAGGACCATGCCTGGCTGGATGAGTTTCAGATGGTGCTGCGGGGCGAGGGGGTCCTTTGCTTCCCATTGGCTGTGGGGTCTTTGTTGTCAGTAATGACCCCCTCTCCTTACAGAGCTTGTGTGAGGAAAGCGAGCGAGGTGGCTGCCCTGCTGGCGGAGAGGTCCCGCTCCATCGTCCTGCAAGGTAGAGTAAGTCGTTCCCTCCTCTGGCACAGGCTGGATGCCCTGAGGCTGGGCCAGGTGTGGGGTGAGCTCCTGGGTTCAGGCTCTGTGATGCCTCCCAGCCCTGGGTACTCCCAGGAAGCACCTCGCTACTACCTGTCCTTTGCGTGAGGCAGGCTTGTCTCCCTGCCCCCACCAGCCACAGGCCAGGCAAGCACTCCCCTCTAGTCCTAGGTCGTGTGTGCCCTGTTGGCTAGCGATTGGCCCACCGAGCGTCTCCGTGGAGGGTCCCGCCCCGGTGCACTGGCCACTGGCCGCTTTCACCGACTCGCTACTCCCAAAGAAGCAGCGCACCCCAATTTCCTAGTTCCCGCTCCGCTTACCACGCAGCACTTAGATCTGCTTTACATGGCCGAGTCCAGAAATGCAAGGAGTAGCGAATGGCAATGTGGGGAAACAAGTGGTTACACCTCACAGCAGGCATTCTAGAGCGCCCCCGAATGAACAAAGTCCTCTCCTGTCTCCTAGAGCAACGCTCACCCCTTTACAGCCAGGGTCCAGCTTGGCTCCTAGGTGAAGGCCCCAGTGCTGTTTTTTGCATCCCCAAGATATGTCAGCCCCACCCTTTGTCAGACACCTCCCCTCCCCCCCAGTGTTTGTTTCCTCTTGTAGATTTCACAGTTTCTTATTTCCTCAATATGCAAATAGGTCTCCAATGTGAGGCATACAATACACAATAGCCAAACTGCCAGGCAGGGAGATAGGTTTCTGTTACCTACTGGTGACCTGCCTAAGTCCAAGACTTTAAGAACGTACTTTTCAGATCCCTAACACCCTAAATATTCTCCATCCATCCAGGTCGCAATTACTGTGAAGACCAGTGGGCTACTGGTTCTTGGTAGAGACCTCACATGTCACCCTTGGGTGAACTATTGTGCATATATCTGATCCCTGGGAAACCTTATGCAACCCTGTGCCCTCTGCCTGTTGGCACCAAGGGGTGCCTCGATTACAGGCTCCATGCTGGCCAATGGACGGGCTGACTGGCTCTGGGCATTGGAGACAGATAGAGGGTCATTGGGTGGGTCCCAATCCAGATCCTTGTGGGACATCACAAGAGCTACTGCCGATCAGCCTCCGCGTTGGCAGCTGCAGCAGAGAGGTCTGTGGACAGTGGAGCCATGACACTCCTCTTGACCCCTAGCCGAGGTCCCTCACTGTCTGTACCCTTTTTCCCCCCCCCTCGCAGAGTCAGACGACCGGGATCTGAACTGCCTGCTGGCCTCCCTCGTCCAGGTCCTGTCGGATCCCCACGCCCGCACCCAGTCTGGGTTCCAGAGCCTGCTGCAGAAGGAGTGGGTGGTGGCAGGGCACCCCTTCCTTCAGCGCCTCAACCTCCTCCGAGACAACGACCGCGAGGAGGTGAGTCTCGGAGCACGCGCGGCTCCGGCTTGATGCCTGGCTGCGTTGGCCAGACGCGGGGGGGGGGGCGCTCGAGAGCGATGGGAGTTCTACCAGCCTGGTCCAGGTGGCACCGAGGTGTCGAATAATCTCCCGGCACGTGGGCTCTGCTCCGAGCACAGCTGGCCGGGAGCGTGGCTCGACGGCCGTGCAAAACCGAGAGGGTTCCCTGGACTGACGGTTGCCTTCCCTCCTCCCCCTCGGGCCCAACTCAGAAAGCGGCTCTGATCCAAGCGTCCTGGGCTCTGGATTTCCCTCTGCCGCCAGTCCTGTCGGAATCTGTTATGGTGGGGCTGGGACCAGGGGGCTGGGTGGGAGCAAGTGGCTGTGAAGGCAGCAGCTAGGAAGGTGCGGGGATGGCAGGGTGGGGATCGGAGGTAGCTCCGGAGTGAGAACCAAACCCGAGCGACCCCTCTAGGCTTTGTCCAGTGGGAGACTTGGTTTTCTTGGCTCAGGTTCCACTGTTGTGGTGGGGACCTCTGCTGGGCAGTCTGCGCATGACACCGGTACCGGCCCGCGCGGGATTCCGGTGGGGGCAATTAGCCATTGGAGCGGCTGTTTGGAGCCTTTGAATGGGGATTGTTTGGGCTCTTGCCAAAAGACGCGCTCCAGTTCAGCCGCAAGCGAATGGGCTCGGTGGAGGAGTCGCTGGGTGACGTTCTCTGGCCTGTGGCCGGGCAGAAGTCGGCTGAGATAGGAGCTGGTGAGGAAAGATGCCCTGGTGCTTCCGTGCTAGCCTGGATGCGCTGGATTCCTTGGTCCAGTTCCCCGCTCTGCTGTTGGCTCCCTCTCGACCACAGCTCCTCATCCGTCCAATGGGATAATGCCCCTGCGCCACTTCCCAGGGAGCCGTGGGGATAAATGCGCTGGAGATGGCGAGACGCCCAGATGCTAAGGAGCCAGGGATGGAACACCGATCGTTTGCTCCCGTGCGGGGGCCGGGCCTGAACTCTGATCCCCAGGGCAGGTTGTTTAAGCTGCCCCGGTCCATCGCGGTGTTGCCGCGAGCAGTGTGACGGTATTTCCTTTCTGGGTAAATCTCTGCAGCATTGCTGCACGGCTGGTCAGCGGCTGCTTTTCAGTGGTGGGAGAACGATCGCTGTGCAGTGTTGCTGCAGGTTGTTTCGGGAGCTGCTCTGTCCCGCCCCAGAGTTGGCTGCATTTTTGCTGTTTCCCCAGGGAGGTTCTTTTTTCTTTCTGTCTCTTATAGTCTCCGGTGTTTCTGCTTTTCCTGGATTGCGTGTGGCAGCTGCTCCAGCAGTTCCCAGCATCCTTTGAGTTCACAGAGACCTACCTGGTGGCCCTCCACGACAGCAGTTACATACCCTTCTTCAGCACCTTCCTGTTTAACTGCCAGTGGGAGAGAGATCGCAGGAATCAGGTGGGTCCAGCATGGAGCCTCCCAGCTACAGTGAAACACTCGGCTGCTCCGCAGTCACTGCCCCAAGCACTATCCTACCACGGGCGGAGAAAGGGGAAATCCGGTGCCATGGTTAATGCACGGCCTGGGAGTGAGGACTCCTGGGTTCTATTCCCAGCTGAGAGAGTGAGGTATGGCCTAGAACAGGCAGCTGGAGGACAGGACTCCTGGGTTCTATTCCCAGCTCTGGGAGGGAGCACAGCCTAATGGTTAGAGCAGGAGGCTGGGAGACAAGACTCCTGGGTTCTTCTATTCCTGGCTCAGTGCCTGACCTCAGGTGAGTCGACGTGCTTCTTTGTGCCTCAGTTTCCCCACCCATAGAACAGGGCGGGGCTCATGCTTCTCTTCCACCTCTGTGAAGCGCTTTGAGATCCTCAATGCATAACATTCCCCGCAAAAGGCCTGCTCCTGGCCCAGCCTCAATGGGATATGGAGTGCAGCCTCTTGTGGGGGTAGGAGGGAGCAAAGGGATACGGATGCGCATTCGCTGTTCCTTGCAGAGACACCTCTCACACTCCCTGTTCATCCCCCAGCACCGTGCCTCCAACCAGATCTACGCGCCCGTCAATGGCTGGCGGGAACTCCCTCCCCTGGAGATCCTGCAGAAGGGTGGCCGCCTGGCGAAGGAGAGAGGGGGCCCCTATTTGCCCACCATCTGGGACTGGGCGCTGCGCTACACCACCCAGCAGAGGGCGCAGTTCAGAAATCCCGCCTATGCCAGGGGCAGCGGCAGCACTACTGTTCCGAATGGCAAATCTGCCCCACTAGGGGGCGACAAGGTGAGTGCGCTGGGCTCCAAACACTGGATGGGACACTAGGAGCGATTTGGGGGCAGGGAGTGTTGCCTGGCAGTCACGCCATGGGGCTGTAGGAGTCAGGACAGCTGGGTTTTCTTGATGGCTGCGAGACCTGTCTGAGCCTCAGTTTACTTTTTCTGTGTCATTAGTGGAGCTGGAAATAGAACCCAGGAGTCCTGAAGCCCAGTCCTCCCCTCCAGCCTCCAGCCCCCAGTCCACACTCTCTCCTAGGCAGGTTCAGTAAAGTATCCTGCTGTGGATGAAGCACGTTTTCCCACCCCGTTTTGCTGCTGGGTTTTACTGTCCTAGATTTCCCCCCCGCCCCATCTCTTTCTCTCTCCAGCTGGAAGGTGCCTTGTCTGGGAACAGGGCCGTGTACCTGTTTGCCAAGGGGGCCCTCTCGCCGCAGACCCACCTCTTCCCCTGGAAGAACGGCTCGCTTTCCAAAAAGGGCTGGTGGCGGGCTCAGTCCTCGGAGAGCCTCAGCGAACAGGACCGGTCCTTGAGGAGCAAACCCAGCGGCTGCCCCCAGCAGCCTGAGGGGCTGCTGCTTCCTGCCTCTGCGGGCCCCCTGATCCGGCTCTGGAGAAGGTGTTACCTGCGGGGGAGCCAGGAAGTTCAGGTAACGCCAGCACGGCGGGGACATTAGCAGACAGGGTGGCTGTGGGGTTAAGGCTCTGAGCTGGGACCTAGGAGCCACTTCCCTGCTCTACCTAGCAGATAGAGCACTGGCCTGGGACTCAGGAGAGTCGGGGGGGGGGGGGGTTCTGGTTCCTGGCTCTGCCACTGACTCTCTAGGTCACCTTGGGCAAGTCATCTAGTTTCTCTGTGCCTCAGTTCCCCTGTATAAAATGGAGATAATCCTGCCCTGGGGGATAAATCTATTAGTGGTTCCATGGGGATACCACGGTGATGGGTGTCCGATTAAAAACTGTAGATTAGTAGCAAATTACCTCTGTCAAATCCAGGTGCGGGGACAGTAATGAAGATACTCTGTGTATCCCCTGTAGGTAGTTCAGTATTAATACCCCCTTGTGCAGAGGGGTAAACTGAGGCAAAGTGCAGGTGGCACAATGAGTCAGTTGCAAAAGAACCCTGGAGTCCTGATTCCTGTATTAATTCTTGTTACGATGGCGCCTGGAGAGCAGAGCCCTGTTGTGCTAGGTGCTGTACGAACAGATAACAGAGAGGGTCCCTGCAGAACAGAGCTGGGCCCAGGCTTTTAGATCCAGGGAGGCTGCAGCTGACCCAACTGAGGGGGGCGTAGCTACACAAACATCAAAGAGCCCCGCATGAGAAACCTCTTTCCAGAGGGACCCATAAACAAGCAGTCGATGATGCCCTGTCACTTTCGGTTTCCTTAAAAAGATGGTGATTAGAAACAGACTTCCCCGGCTGAGCCTCCAGGCACTGCGGTGCGCTGGCCGTTAGCTAACTACCGAGCCGCTTCCTCTCCCAGCACAGCCTGCCTGAGGGCATCGAAACGTTTCCTGGGCACAGGCGTTAGAGGAAGAACATAGCACGTGGCTCTGGTTTGGCCACTGGCATGGCTTAGATCTCATTAATGATCTCAATCCGCCTGAGCCAGAAGACGCAAACTCTCCGGCAGTGGGCTCATGCCAGGCCTGGCTGCTCCGGTGATTTGTGTAAAATACTTTTTTAGTCTCCCTGGGAAAGGCCCAGGGCTGGAACAGCTGGAGGGGCATCGGCCGAGCTGGGCGTATTGCGGGGGGCTGGTGGAACCGCAGGCCTGGGATAGCATCTGCTGCAGGTCAGGATAGACGGGGATTGGTGGGTCTGCACCGGGCACCCAGCCTGCGACAGGATGGAGGGGCATGAGCAGAGCCGTGTTACGTGCCTGGGTTGTTCCAGCCGGGGCTGACTCGGTTGAGGGGAGCCAGTCGGGTCCCCCCAAGCCCTTGTGCCATACCCGAGTCTAGCTGGGGTGCTGTCGCTCGCCTGGTCACCAGCTCCAGGGCCTGTGCTCCCGGTGTGGACTCAGCCAGCCCTGAGCCGCCCTGAATCTCTGTCTCTGACTCTCCCCATCAGCGCGGCCTCTTTGCCTCCACGCTCGCTGAGCTCGCGGAGGAGCTGGACCGGCTTCGAAAGCAACTGGGCGACTGACAGGCGAGGGGACTTGCTAGGGTGACTCAGCGTGGCATCCCCCTGAAGGCGAAATGCCTCGAAGACTGGACAGCCTCGCGTCCCTGCTGCCACGCTGGAGATGGGAGCGCGCCCCTGGCAGAACCGGATCTGTCCACTGGACCAAGGGCAGGACCTGGGTTTTTAGGAATGGCTTCAACAGTCTTTGGGCCTTGCTGTCCCTCCTGACGCTGGGAGCTGCCCATCCTTCTGTGGCTGCAGGAAAGGGAACCGGGCAACCCCGTCCGTCGAAAGGGCTCGCTCCCTCTCATGCAGCTCAGGGTGGTGGGTGCCCAGATAGCCCTGGCTCCTCCCAAGTGCTACCTCCTCAAAATCTGGCCCGACCCCAGAGCCCCCACCCGGCCCTGAGTCTGGTTAACACCCCCCCTCCCCCAATCATGCTGGGTGTTTGGCCGGGGTTCGGATGGTGGGATCTGGACAGGAACCGAACAACTCCAGTGTTCTCCAGTGCTGCTCGGCAAAACGCTGTAGGATTCTGTTACTGCAGGGTTCAGGGCAGGCACTCCAGGGTACTGGGTCCAACTGCTTTTGCTGCTGCTCGAGCTGATCTCTCCGTTCTCTGATCTTTCAGGCCCCTTCACCCTCCTCGCTCCCCCCAGGGGGCCTTACTCAGCTGATGAGACTGGCTCATTCACGCTCCTCCAGCTGAGTAGCGTCCCTCCCCCAGAGGGGCGGCAGGTGGGTGGAAGGGCAGGCGAGGGTTAACTTGCTGCTGCCCAGGCCGTACCCATCCCCTGGATTATCGCTGGCCTCCGATCTCCAGTGCTGTCAGTCTGGCACCCATCCCTGAGCTGCAACTCTGCAAACTCTTAACCCCTTGCCTGGATTTCCCAGCAACCCTTGGGGGGCGGGAAAAGGGGAGCAGGAGAACCCTATCCTCAGTAGATCACAGGGAGCCCCCATGATCTCCCATCTCCGGGCAGGGCTATGCTACAAACTTGCATCGGTGGCGGCGTTGTAGCGCTTCTGGTGCAGACGGTCTAAGCCGACAGGAGAGAGCTCTCCCGTCAGCCGCGGGGCGGGTTAAGGTCGGTATAACGACGCTGCTCAGGGATGTGAAAAATCCACCCCCCTGAGCGACGTAGTTGGAGCGGAGTGTGTAATGTAGACCTGGCCTCTGATCCGAAAGCTGCCGTGCGGAGCCAGTGAGTCGGATGCACTTGGCGCTGTCGTGCTAGCAATGTGCTGGGGCGGGTCTTTGAGGCGCCAGGCATGTCCCAACGACAGGTACTTCTTGTGCTACCTCTAGAACTTGCTTTCTAAGCCTCGGCGTTCGGGTCTCAACTGGAGAGTCCCCGGAGGGTGGGAATGTTGGGGTCTGGAGCTTAGGGACGCTGTTGGCTGAACAATATACCCAGCTGTGCCTCTGCCAATCATCTGGGCCGCATGTAAGTTGCAGTCGCATTGGCAGGTGGCTGCTAACGGCACTCTTTTGGTACCGTGTGTTTCCCAGGTGAGGTCCCAGGAGCCTCTGTCCTCCGTTACCACCCTCGAACAATGGCAATTCCGCTTTCAGTAGTTTGGACCAATCGGCTCAGTAGCTTCTCCTACAGCACGTTCCCAACACAAGCTTAGGGGGGTACTGGTGCAGGGGTGGGAGCCTTTCCTATCTGCTATCACGGCAGACCTAGGTCAGGTTACCACCTGAAGCCTCTGAGGAAGGGATTGGTGGGTGGCAGCCAAGTCCCCATTAAACAAGCATCTGTGTCCCCCAACCTCCATAGTCTTTCCTGCTCTGTGGCTCCCATCTTGATACATGCAACGGAGCGTGAATAGGCCTTGTTCTCACCTTTCCCAGTGCTCCTCCTACATGGAGCCTCCGCCCTGGGTTATGGGGGTGGGGGGCAATTTGCCTGGACTGTACCTGGCCTGGAGGCCTTCAGTTTCCAGGACTATCCCACTGGCATCTCTCTCAAGCTTGGCGGGGAGAAAAAGCCAAAGGCCATCCGTCCCAGTCATGGGCTGCTTGTGGCCTTAAGCCAGAGTTGTCGTTGCTTTTGTACTTTGAATCTGAATCGAAAAGTGAATGCTCCAGATCGTGGGCCATGCATTTCAGGGAACCACGCTTGCAGTCCGAGCTCCAGCTTTTCAGAGGCCTAACTCACAACCCGGTCACCCACCACTCCTTCCACTTTATAGCCAGCCTTCTTGGGCTGAGACTTTCATCTCCGAGGGGGGAGCGGGATTTGGAACCCAATCTTCTCCCTTCTCACCCTACAGAAGGCACATCCAATTAGTCAATTTCACCAGCCACGCTTGGGCATTAGAATCAACATTTCCATTGGCCCCAGTGGGCATTGGATTCAGGCCCTTGTGAGGGGGATGGAGACTTGCTGCATCTTTCAGGTACCTACAGATGCATGACTGCTGTACCCAGATGGCACCATGCTGCTTTGTCAGTGTTTATGGACACTGGGGTTTGCACAGTTCCTGTATGCTACTTCTTTTCCGCCCTGAGATTTGAGTGCCTACTTTGTATATCTGTCTAACAACAACGAGGAATAACAAAGATTATTTTTATTGGCATTTGTAATATAATCTCTCGGGGCGATATTAGAGATGTTTGTTTTTGTTGAAAAATTTATATTTTATATTAAAAAAAGCTCTGGTTCTAACATTAGTAACCCACAGGAAATGGGTTATTGTATAAGCTAAAGTGTTTAGACAAAACTGGACGATACATTTTTTATATATGTGTGTGTTTCTCTCCTCTCTCTCACCCACACACAGGGATTGGAAGCCACCAAATTCCAGGATGGATTAGAACAGTTGTAGGGGTAGGGCTACCCAGTAATCCAAGTATTGCAGCATGGGTAGACATGCTGGCATGGCTAAGAGTAGCAGTGTAGATGTGGTGGCACGTGTCAGTGTGGGCTGTACAGGGACCCTGGGTATGTGGGTTAGCAAGGCATCTACTTGGCAATTTTGAGCCATGGTAGTGCAGGTATGTCTTCCCATGCACTAATCACACCTAGGATTGCAGGATAGACTTGCCTATGCTGTTACAGCAGAGGGTCTAATCTAGCTGTGATCTTAGCTTAGGAAATTGGTACTGTTCTCTGCGAAACTGTGGAATTGTTGGTGTAAGAGTCCTAGAACTTTAGGGCTTTCAGGCCCTGGGAAAGAACCAGGACTGTCATCTGATGAGTATGAACAAAGTACTTCCTCCAGAACACCCTCATTTCTTTTTACGTGCAAGGTTTCAAGATGGGGAGGGTCTGGACTTTCCTTGGAAGAGTCCTTTGTGATTGCTTTTCCTGGTGGTTACTCCTTTATAACAACTTGGAGGTTTTTTTTGTTTTGTTTTGTTTTTTAAAATCTTAGTGCTAATAGCACATATACATAAAAGTATTTTGGAGACCAGAACAGTAGGGTAACTCTGTGCAGATCACACATTCCCCGTGGATGAGTTAAGTGGAAATCCAAATAAGGGCATTTTTTTTTCTATGCTGTATATTTTTGTAGTGACGTTTCTATTTAAGAGCTCATTAAAGTGCAGTATTTTTAAATGCAGAGTGGCTGGCTGTGAGTTGAATGGTATGCTCTAGTTCAGGGGTCCCCAGTGCGGTGCCTGTGAGTGCCGCGGTGCCCGCCGGGGCAGCCATGTGCGCCCGCCTACTGGGCGCCAGAAAAGCTGCCGGCAAGAAGCTGCAACGTCAAGAAGCGCTACGGCCGAAATGCCGCCGAAATTCGGCAGCACCACCTCGTGATGACGCTGCTTCACGGCGTCATTTTGACGGCCGCTTGTCCAACGGCCACGGTCTTTAGCGGCTAGTTGTCTGGCGCCCACCCTACAGAAAAGGTTGGGAACCATTGCTCTAGTTAAACTAACCGTTGGGACTAGATGCTAGGATCATATGGGGGAAACTGAGGCACGCTGAAGTAGTGACTAAGCCAGTGGCAGGACCAGGAATAGAACCCAGATTTCTTGAGTCCTTGTCCGGGGCTCTCTCTCACTTGGCTTACGGGGAAGCAGCATGGGGTCAGGTGCTGGGATGCTGACCTGTGAGGCAGGAGAGCTGGGGCCTATTTGTACCTCTGCCAATGACTTTGCACAAGATACTTCAGTGCCATGTGCCTCAGTTCCCCCATATGTAAAATAGGAATACTGAGAAGGTGGTCACTATGTAAAGCACTCCCGGGGAACAGTTACCTCCCAAAGAGCGGTAAGATCCTTCCCCTAGCAGGCCTGATTCCCCAAGCCGTATAAGGACTCGTTCCATAACGAAGGTGCAGAAAGGGGCCGGGTTAGGCTCAGCAGGACAATAAAGCACCATGGAATAGCTGACGCTGCCTGCTGCTTGTCCCCCTACCACCAGAGCTACTGGCATCGATCCTGGGGGCCTGTGCCCCGGTCAGAGTGGGATGACCCCCCTGGCTCTGGGTTTTTAATTTTTCTCTTGGCGCCCCAGGTGGGAATGGGCATTCAGAGGCCCAAACAAGTGCCCTCCTACCACTGCCCAGAGTAGGGTGACCAGATGTCCTGATTTTTGGGTCTTTTTCTTTTATAGGCTCCTATTACCCCCTACCCCCTGTCCCAATTTTTCACATTTGCTGTCCGGTCACCCTAGCCCATAGGCTCAGCTCCCCTGTACTAGCAGTGGGAACAGGGACCCCTATCAAACAACAGCTAGTGCCCCTCCCCCCCCCAGCATTGGGGGGCTCTGCAGGGGGGGAGCATCCCCTGCAGCGGGTATGGGGGGGGCAGGCGGTGGATTTGCTAGTGGGAGCTTATGTCATGACATGTCATCACAAAGGTGTGAACTTTACCACAGGGGTCAAAGGGGAGCAAGCTCTGAACCCCTGGGGGCCAAGAGGGGGGATGAATTTACACAGGGGGAGTGAAATAGGGCCCAAGATAGCCACTTCCGCCCATAGGCAACATGGCCACGGGTGCGTCCAAGTCCACTTCCGCCCTTAGCCGCCATGGCTCCTTCCATGCACGGCCACTTCCGGCCTCATCCAAGATGGCCGCTGCCTGCACCGCCCCTTTTCACCCGCGGTGGCCGGAAGTGGGGGGGTGAAAGGGCGGAAGTCGGAGGTCGCCCGCCTGGCCGCGGGGAGGCGGGAGCGCGTTCGAGATGGCGGCGGGGCCCATCTCCGAGAGGAACCAGGGTAAATGGCGGCGGCTGCCAACCCCCTGGTCCCCGCTCACGAGGGGCTGGGGGCCCGATCCCCCTGTACCCGGGGGGGCGGGGCTGGGTCCCAGCTTGGCGGTCCTGAGCTCCCCCCCAAAAGCGGGGGGGCGGGGGCTGGGTCCCAGCTTGGGGGTCCTGAGCCTCCCCCCAAAAGCGGGGGGGGGGCGGAGTTTGCGGCTGGGTCCTAGATTGGGGAGCCCGAGCCTCCCCCCCAAAAAGCTGGGGGGGGTTGCAGCTGGGTCCTAGATTGGGGAGCCCGAGCCTCCCCCTTAAAAGCTGTGTGTGGGGTGCCAGATTCGGCCTCCCTGCTGTGCATCTGATTTCAATCCATTCATTTGGGGCATTTGGGGGGAGCTGTGGGCCCCATCAAGGGAGGGCTCTCATGGTCAGGCTGCAGGACTGGCCCTCAGGACTCCTGGGTTCCTGGCTCTGTTCTTGGCTCACGCTGCGACCCTGGGCAAATCATTTCCTCTCTTTCTGCCTCAGTTTCTTCCGTACAATCGGTGTCATCACAGCGATTTTCTTTAGGGAGCTTGTGAGGGTTAGTCTAAGAAGAGGTGTGCAGTGCCTTGTGTGGAAAGCTCTGGGGCAGCACAGAGGGTTCAGATCGCCAGGGCCTGCTCTGGCTTTTGGTATAGACAGTGGTAGACTTGGTTGGAAATGCCATAAACTAACAGATTTCCTAGTTCAAAATAGGAAACAGCATTAAGTGGGGTAACTGAAGTTCATGCTTCAGGGCTTGGGCTGCGGACCGCAGTGGTCAGCCAGGGGTTCTGTACCAGTTTGATCTGAAGTATCGACTTTGTGTTGCCTTGGCAATGAGGGGGGACAGCTGACAGTGACATCATCAGATATGGTGTGAGGGTGACACGGTATGTGAAGGTGACACGGTACAAACGTGTGATTTAAAGGGAGCCACTTCTTTGTAGTACAAGGGGAAGCAGTGCGGCCTAGTGGCTAGAGCACTGAACCGGCCCTTGGAACACCTGGGGTTCTATTCTTGGCTCTGTTGGTTGACCTTGGGCTTGCCTGCTCAGTGCCTCAGTTTCCCCATCTGTATAATGGGGATAATGATACTGATCTTCTTTGTAAAGCGCTGAGAGAGCTACTGAAGGAAAGGGCTAGATAAGAGTTAGGGATTATCACCTCTTTGGAGCATGTCTGCACTTAAACTGCATTCTTAATCATTTAACATTGGTTTCTTAGATGTCCATACACTTACTCCAGAGAAGTGTGTTTCATTAGGGGTCCAGTCTTGAGCTGTCTAAGTCGAGGCAAGTTTTGCTTTTGACTTCATGGACTCGAGCGCAAACCCTTAGGGATCCAGAGCTGATCTCTCTGTGGGAGAGTTCTTAACTCATCTGAGATGTTCAAGAGATTGCTCTTCAGATCCAGGTAACTCATCACCATCTCCTCTCCCCCCTCTCAAGATGCTACGGTTTACGTCGGTGGCCTGGACGAGAAGGTCAGCGAGCCGCTGTTATGGGAGCTGTTTCTGCAGGCGGGACCGGTGGTCAATACCCACATGCCCAAAGATCGAGTCACAGGTCAACATCAAGGTAAGATATTGACCGGTCCCTTCAAAGACACGTCTCTGCCAGATTACATATCCACAGGGCTCTCGTCCAGGCAGACACATGTACCATCTGCCAGTATGGAAAGGGTTAAAAATCCCATTTCCAGTCACTTTACATGTCACTTGTAACAATAGTCAGTGTAAAATGTTCAGACAGAACTGAGAATTAGCTGTGTTGTGGTGGCGTGGAGGAGCCCCAGTTGTGGATCAGAACACCATGGTGCCAGGTGCTGTACAAATGCCGACCAGATAATCTAAGTAATTCTCCTGGGTTTCAGTTTACGTACCACATCTCATTCTGTACATTGTCTCATTCCACTTGTTACTTTAAAGAGTAAAAGCTTGTCTCTTCACCAAGATGCACCGTTACTTTTAAAACCAATTTAAATTGAGACTTGGGCCTTGTCTACACTAGAAAGGGGCCGGGGACAGTTATACTGGCAAACGTTCCCAGTGGGGAGACAGTGTACACCAGTAAAAGAGTTCTGTAGCTTATACTGGTTCACTGAATGGAATAAGCTGTAGCAGCAAAAGGACTGACTTGTTGGAATAACTGCGTTTACACTTGGGCCTTTGCTGACACAGCTATGCCATTTAGGGGTATGATTATTTCACACTCCTCAGCAACATAGCAATGCTGGCAAAACTTCTGAAGTGTAGACCAGATCTTAGTGAAACTGGTACAGATCCCTCTTTGGATACTCATAGCTGTTTAAATCTAGGTTAGCTTGCAGCTGTGAATTACTGGTGCAAGCTAAATTGATACGTCAGGTTTAACTTGATGAGTGTCCATACATACAGCTGCACCAGTGTAAATAAATCAGTTTTGAAATCACACCTTTAGACTGGTCCAACCTTGTGTCTAGACCAGGCTTTAGAAGCAGAGGGGGAGAGAAATCAATAGCTGCAGATGAGGGAGGAAGACAGTTTGAAATGAGATGGAGTGGAGAAGGTGGAGACCTAGAATGAGGTGGTTCTGGATGCTAGGAGATGCAGTGAGAGTTCTCCTATCTGTAGGGGGGCAGTTGACCTCCCCAGTTGTTCCAGCCAGTTCTTGATAAGGAGAGGAGAGATTATTTCAGGGAAAGCTGCAGAGGAGAAGATTCTTGCATCAACAGTGGAGAAATGATGGAGGCCTGAGATCAACCAGGGGGATGGTGTGGGTGGCATGGAGAGACTATGGAGTGTATCCGGCTATAAAGGGCTGTGTTGGGGTGTGTGTTGCAGGTTATGGGTTCGTGGAATTCCTCAGCGAGGAAGATGCCGACTACGCCATTAAAATCATGAACATGATCAAGCTGTATGGGAAGCCGATCCGCGTGAACAAGGCCTCGGCCCACAACAAGAACCTGGACGTGGGCGCCAACATCTTCATCGGCAACCTGGACCCGGAGATTGACGAGAAGCTGCTGTACGACACCTTCAGCGCCTTTGGAGTCATCCTGCAGACCCCCAAGATCATGCGGGACCCCGACACGGGCAACTCCAAGGGCTATGCCTTCATCAACTTCGCCAGCTTCGATGCCTCCGACGCCGCCATTGAGGCCATGAATGGACAGTACCTGTGCAACCGGCCCATCACCGTCTCTTACGCCTTCAAGAAGGATTCCAAAGGCGAGCGGCACGGCTCCGCTGCAGAGCGGCTGCTGGCTGCCCAGAACCCCCTGTCTCAGGCAGACCGGCCTCATCAGCTGTTTGCAGATGCCCCTCCTCCTCCATCGGTGCCGACCCCTGTCGTCACGTCCTTGGGGCCAGGTGTGAACCCGCCAGGTGAGCACATGCTGTGCGGTGCCTTTTGTGCTTGCGGGGAACTCTGGCTGCAAGTTTCCATAGGCTAGACCAGGGGTGGCCAACCTGAGCCTGAGAAGGAGCCAGAATTTACCAATGTACATTGCCAAAGAGCCACAGTAATACGTCAGCAGCACCCCCTCAGCTCCCCGCCGCTCCAGCCCCGGAGTCAGCGCCTATGCAAGGAGCCGCATATTAACCTCTAAAGAGCCACAGGTTGGCCACCCCTGGGCTAGAGGGACTCTAGAGCTATGACATGGCCGTGGAGCATTGCTAGGGGGCACTGTGCTGCAGAGTGTGGTGCGGGTGACTCACTAGAGGGCGCTCTGATCTGGATCATGGCTGAAGCCTGGATTCAGAACTGAACTGCATGGCTGCAAACTCTGCTGCTCTATCGTGAACCCTGGTTCCTTAGGGCGCTTGCAGACTGGTTGCAGTTTTCCCCACCACGCTCAGGGGTAAAGTTGGCCATTAGTCTCCAGTGCAGTCGGCCATGTGTTCTGCTGTCAGACCTACCCAAGAGGTCTGCAGGTAGCTGGCGTGATCTCAGTCAGCTAGAACGTGGGGAATGGAGTCAGGACTCCCTGTTCCTGTCTGCCACTGACTGGCTGCGTGAGCTCGGGCAAGTTGCTTAATCCCTGTGCCGCGCTTTCCTCTATGTAAAGTGGGGGTACGACCCTCGACTCAGGGCACTGCGAGGTTATTTTGAGACGCTTGGGTGAAAAGCTCTGTAGACGATTACTGGCTTCGTGTGCTGGCTGAAATCATTGAGGCCCTCGGCCGGTCTGTGGCGCTCCTCGTTTGGCAGAGACGAGATGGGCTCCAACGAAGCAGGCGAGACGCTACGGGAGATGCAGGCTCGCTGGCACTTGCTCGCGCTAGCAGGTGGACATGTGGCTGCTGCCGAGGCCAGTTCATTCTGAGTCCTCTCTGTGGTTTGTAGATGCTGACCCAGGTGATCAAGTTTTTTCTCACTGACTCGTCTCTCTTTTCAGGCATCCCACCCCCAGGATCGTTTCCCCCGCCGGTGCCGCCACCTGGAGCAATGCCCCCAGGAATGCCTCCTGCCATGCCACCTCCACCCATGCCACCAGGTGCAGGTGCCCCGGGTCCTCCTTCAGGGGGCACTCCCAGTGGAGGGCACCCTCCTCACCCACATCCTTTCCCACCTGGCGGGATGCATCATCCAGGTAGGTATCAGAGCGGCAGTGTGGCCTCGTGCACAGAGAACTGGTCTGGGACTTGGGAAACCTGGGGGTTCTGTTCCTGACCTGGTGGGTGACGTTGGGCAAATCACGTCCCCTCTCTGTGCCTCAGCTTCCCCACCTTGAAAATGGGCTGATCTCTGCCAAGTGCTTTGAGATTTACTGATTAAATGCTAGGTAAGAGCTGGGGATTTTCAGGCTTCCTCTGCAATCTGCTCTGCTGAATGCCTTGTTCTAGAACTCCATTGGGACTGCTTTAAAGTTCCGCACGTGCTCAAGTGTTTGCAGGATTGGGGCTAAAATGGTATCTTTAGTTTTTAAAAAAAACCTGGAGTGGCATAAAATCTTTGTCACATTGGAACAAAACTGCTTCGGTGTTCAGACTGCAAAGTGAGCGTGGCTGTTTCTGCACTGCAGAGTTTGTGCCGGCATAGCCGCTAGTGTAGACACAGCGTACCCCGACGGGAGTTTTTCTGGCGGGAGGCGGTGTTCCAACCCCTGCATGAGGTTAGCTAGGCCAACAGGAGCCCTCGTCTATGGACACAGCTGCATCTACACTAGGGCTGTGTCAGCATAGCTCTGCCACTAGGGGGTGTGGCTTTTTCACACCATGACCGACATAGCATGGCAGTGTGAGATTTTTAAGGGTATGTCTGCGTTCTCCTGTCACTGTAGTAAATTCACCGCCCCGAGAGGCGGTAGCTTGGTCGGCGGAGGAATTCTTCTGTCTACACCAGCTTAGCTATGTCTCTCAGGGTGTGAACCTCTTCCATTGCTGTCGTGTCATCTAGTGTAGACGTATCCAAAGTGATTGTGACTTTTTTTTATATGCCCATTCCAAAATGTTCAGAAATACCCTGACGTTAGGCTCCGTAAGCCCATATTTAGGCACCTATGGGTGGGAGTTTTGTAAAGCACCTACAAGATTTAGGAGCATAAGCCCCGGATGGGTGAGTGCAGCCTTTCAGCTTTTCTCCATTTGGGGAAGTTCAGTGTACGGGAAGGTGGCAGGAGTTGCAGACCCAGCACGGGTTATTTGTTTATCAATCTTGCGTGAGAGTTTGTAGCGTTCTTGCAATAAGGGCGTTAATGAGGCTCTGGACTTGTCTTCTGCAGCATAGATGAGGATTGAAGTGTGAAACTTCTTAGTAGGAAAACAAATCTCTATGTAAAATCGGAAATTCGGCTAAAGGAACAAATACAGAACATTCCCTTTATCAGTATAAGACTATAAAACAGGAGGGAAGCAAAGAACTAGCAACGTGGAAACTAAAACAAAATCTGATTTTAAATTTTAAACAGAAATCTTTTTAAAATAATGATTTGTTTGTTTTTTTTAATCCACCCTGCTCTAAACTGTGAGCCCAGCTCTGTCTGTTAGGAAGTCACCTCTCCCCTTATGTCTGATTAGGAGGCTTTGTATAATTGCAGATTTGGCTGTGTTAGCGACAGATGGCTGCGGTCTCCTATTACACGCTGGCTTACAGTGTTTAAAGTAGGTGGTTACATACCGCAGGGAAAGGTCCATCATGTCACGGTGCCTGGCCTGTGGAGGTGTGTTCGGGCGCCTGGATTTCTGTTAAAGGGGAAAAGAGAAGAATCTGTCTTTTCCCCCTTCCTTTGTCTCTTTATCCCAGTGCCTGGTGTCTGTCTCCAAATTTCCCCCTTTTAATTTGTCATTGGCAGAACTGGGTCATGCCACTACCGCTTGCCAAGGGGAAATTTCAAATCTGCTGGCCATGTGCTGGCTCCTCTTAAAAATGAGCGTGGGAAATGCAGCTGGTAGCCATTGCTCACTTGTCTGTCTGTGCCACGCTGGAGGCTGTGGATGGCACCTTCGATAATGTGCCTTATTAACGGCGCCAAATTTCTTGGTTGGCACTGAAGGGCTCTTTAAATTAGTGGAGAAAGGCAGACCGAGAACCAATGGCTGGCAGCTAGGGCCTGCGCGTTCAGATTGGAAAGAAGATGTTACCCAAGGGAAGTGGTGGATTCTCTGTCTGTTGAGGTCTCTAAATCCAGAGTGGAGGCCCCTCTGGAGATGTGTTCGCCAGACACAGGTCTCTGGGTTCACCACAGGGCTAGCTGTGAAATTCTCTGGCCTGGGCTATGCAGTAGGTCAGACTAGGTGATCTAATGGGCCTTTCTGGCCTTGTATTCTCTGGTACAATCCTCCCACCGGCTGGAATTCAGGTTGCTCTAGTGGCCAGTAAAAATGCTATTGGGACCAGCCCTGTCCTCCGAGCCCTGGTCGCCTCGAGGTCACTGGGATCCTGGAGTCCTGTCCAGCAGCTCATGTGGTCAGTGAGCTCAGCAGAACTTGGTTTCTAATCAGCGGCTTTGAATGTCTGGGTGGGTCTAAAGAATGTCTTGTGCTTTTCCCCAGGGATGCCCCCCATGCAGGTGCATCACGGACCACCCGGGATGGGACAGCATCATCATCCGGGGCCACCGGGGTCAGGAGGCCAGCCCCCGCCCCGCCCGCCCCACGGCATGCCCCACCCCGGACCACCCCCAATGGGCATGCCGCCCAGAGGGCCCCATTTCGGATCACCCATGGGTAAGTGGGAACCTGCGAGATGGGACGTTTACTGGAGTCATGGGCCTAATACCAGCCCAGGCCTGTGGCATCCATTTGCTAGTTCAATTGGGAGGTGGGAAGAGGAGGACTGAGGTCTGAAATGGCGGCTGCTTACGTCACAGCCTTGGAGGCCAGCCGTGCGCTCGGAGCGAGATCTCTGGCTGGGGGCCGTTGAGAAGGGGGAACCCCGAGCGGTTTCCTCTGCCTCGTGAGGCTGCGTGGCTCTGTGGCTGGATCAGGGGCCTGGGAACGAGGACTCCTGAGTTCAGTTCCTGGCTCTGCCGCTACCTCGCTGTGGGACCTTGGCCGCGTCTCATGTCATCTGCCTGCCTTTCCCAGCTGTCAAGTGAGGATGTTTCCTTTGAGCCGAAAGGCGCCTGAGGAGGGTGACTAAGGGCTTCCCCGCCGGCTTCCCAGCTAGGAAGGGATCGGTGTGCCTCTTCTCCAGTCCTGCTGGTGGAGCGGGAGGGTGGGGCTCATGTCCCTTCTCCCTCGAGCCCTGTTGCAGGGAATCGGGCGGGAGGCAGGGTCTCGCATCCTGGTACAGCAGTTGCTTTGCGCAGAGCCGTGTCATTTCAGTGACCAGTTTGCTCCGCTGAGACCAGACTCCTGCTTGAGATGTGGGGAGGGCCCCATGCTCGAGAGACGCCAGTAGGGCCATGCCCAGCTCGACGTCCCTCCAGAGCTCCCGGCCAAGAGTCCCGGCTCTGAACAGCCTCTTGGCTTGGAAATAAATTTGTGGCTTGTGGTGCCTGAAATCTCTTGTGCGAGAGGCTCGTGCGGATGGGCCCTGATTCGGAGCTGCCGTCTTTGCTTCCTTCAACTAGGGTTTAATGTCATTACGCTCTGTCCTGCAGGTCACCCAGGCCCCATGCCCCACCACGGCATGCGTGGGCCGCCTCCATTGATGCCTCCCCATGGTTACAGCGGCCCCCCCCGCCCACCACCCTATGGCTACCAGCGGGTCCCTCTGCCACCTCGTCCTGCCCAGAGACCCCCCGTGCCACCTCGTGGGCCTTTGAGGGGACCACTACCATAAACGCAGCCGCATCAGAACCTGGCCAGCAGAAGAACCTTCCTACTGCGAATTCCTCTCTCTCCTACTTTGGATTTTGGTTTCTTTTTGGACTAACGTTCCTGAGAACAGGAAGCGTGATCGGAGCCGTCAGTGTCTCGCTGCCCCTGTGAAAACCCTGCTATTCCCTTTAGCAGTGTTACTTTTAGTTGTCCTCTCCCTGCTCTTGTCCCCGTCGTTTCGAGAAGATAACTTGATTTTAATGAAATGTTTTTCTATGTGAACTGAGATTGGCCGTTTGCAAATAAACACCTTGGGCGTTGCCCTCTGAGGCTGGTATGATTTTTTTTATCTTTGCATTCCACAGCCTGCCAGCCCCGAATTGTCAGTAGGGCCTGGTGTTCTTTGGATCCCAGAAGCGTGTATTATTGAGCCTCACGCACGTTTATTTACATGCTAGAATCCTGTTGCTGCATCGTTGTTCCTTTGGGGGGCTGTTGACAGTGAAGGTAAAGGGCTGGCAGCATTAGCATAATGCAGCCATGCTTACAGGCCTCCTCTGTGCTTCTTGGCCAAGACATCTCTTAGCTATACCAGTATTAGGCTACCACATACAGCTCTATGAACATCCCTCCTAACCAGCCAGCCCACTGCCTCTTCCCATTTAATTCTTAAGAACCTAAGAACGGCCATACTGGCTGACAACAATGGTCCGTCTAGCCCAGTATCCTGTCTTTGGACAGTGGCTAGTGCCAGACGCTTCAGAGGGAGTGAACAGAACAGGGAAATTTATCGACTGATCCATCCTCTGTCCTCCAGTCCCAGATTCTGGCATTTGGAGGTTTAGGGACACCCAGAGCGTTGGGGTAGCATTTCTTCTCACTTAAGTGAGTCCAGCTCGGTTAAGCGAAGGCAAAGGAGGAGAGAAATTTAGGGTGGTAACGGGAGCCAGTTGGGAACTGGAATTTCCATACCACAGGGAATTTTGACATTTTGAAACGCAAAATCATTCCCATGGGAACGAAAAGCCAAAATTCCTCATGAAATGAAAATTCCAAGACATTTTGATTTGGGCCCATCAAGTGTCTTGCTAGGGTGGAAGTGCGGTGGTGGTTGACTTTTATATTATAATATTTCAGTATAATATTAAATGAGACAGATCTAGATAAAGGTAATACAGTAGAAAACGCTAACCAAAATTAATCAAAACCCTAAAAAACAAACTGCACTCAAAAAGAAAGTTCTTTTTGCTGACACAGACTAACACGGCTACCACTCTGAAACCCCCCTCAGTTTTTCCCATCAAAAAAACGTTGTGGAAATCAGTATGTTCCCCTGAAACATTTAGACAAAACTGTGGTGTTTTTCTAAAGGAAAGCTGTTCTTTCTACGTTTTTTGATCAACTCTCGTTCCAACCAGCCATGGGAACCTTAGGCTGAGTGTTAAGATTCTGGCCTTGCTCAAATGTAGCGTGTACAGAGTACCTGAGTGTATATTCTTCAGGGAACGATTCTCCATCAGTTCACGGGGCGGACGCTTTGTACCCAAGGTAAAGCACTCGGCTAGCTGGACTGTGCTAGATGAATTTATGACGTTAGGGGGTCTGAGAGCTCCGGTTAGCAGAGCACTTTGGCATTCTCAGCTAGTTTGTTGGCCTCCAGTCTCTAATCTCATAGCGCAGCTAAGTGTGTGCTTCAATCCAGAGCATACCCAGGGACACGCTTCTCACTCCTCCCTGCACAGCACCTGTCTTGTGTCCTAGCAGCCAGCATCTCACTAAGATAAGAGCTCTTGCATGATGATAATGGCCTGACTGGAATAAAAGCAAGTGGCTTTATTGATGTGTCTTCCAAAGGATAGAGCTTTTCTCTGATTTGCCTCGCTCAGCTGGGTCTGTCACCTAGGACATTAGAAATCTAATCTACTTTGTGCTGTTGTCATTTGGCACTTCACTCAGCTTGCGCTGTGGTAATAGACTAATCAGCTTCCCTCTTGTTTATGATCTTGTGTCTGATCGATTTCACTTTCCGGATGCCCTGCCTGACGTCTGCTTTGCAAAGGTGGCAAGTGCTGTTCCTCTCTCTTCTTGAAGCCTGTTTCCATTAGACTTTGTAAAACAGGGATCAGAGGGGCATTTATCTCAGCTGGATTTATTGAATATATACACCTATCTCATAGAGCTGGAAGGGACCTTGAGAGGTCATCAAGTCCAGTCCCCTGCCTTTACTAGCAGGAACAAGTACCGATTTTGCCCCCGATCCCTAAATGGCCCCCTCAAGGATTGAACTCTCAACCCTGGGTTTAGTAAGCCAATGCTCAAACCACTGAGCTATCCCTAATATGACTGGGGAGACCCCAAACTAAGATCAAGGCTGCATGTGCTGGGCTCTGCACTGACACCCAGTGAGAGACAGGCCCTGCCTCAAAGAACTTACAATGTAAATGGACAAGCTAGAGGGTGAGAAGGATCGAGAGGTCCTAGTGGAGAAGCAGCTCACCAGGCGCTCTCAATGCCAGGCTGTGGCAAAATGGGCTAATGCAATCCGTGGGTGTATATACAGAGTTGGGGCAGGGAGGTGATTTCACCCCTGTATCTGGCAGTGGTGAGATGGATACTGGAATACTGCCTACTGTTCTGGTGTCTGCATTTGAAAAAAAGATGTTGGAGAAGGGGGTCAGAAAGCCCCCACCCCCCAAAAAAAATAATTCCAGGGCTGCAGAAAATGCCTTACACTGAGAAACCTAAAGAGCTGACGTGGTTTAGCTGATTTAAAAGAAGACTGAACGGTGCCTTGATTCCAGTGTATCAGGATCTGCTGGAGACTAAAAGACTCCCCCAGCTACTGGAGACAGTCAGAATGAGAACCAAGGGCTGAAACCAGACAAATTCCAAGTAGGAGCAAGGCCCCAGGGAGGGCGATTTATCACTGGAACAATCTGCCTGGGGAAGAGGTGGCTTCTCTGTCTCTTGACATCTTCAGCTCCAGCCTGGAGGCTTTTCTGGGCTCGATAAAGGGGGAAAATGTAACAGCTCTTAGGGAGGAGGTCAGACGAAATGATCTAATGGTCCATTCTGGCCTTAAACTCTACGAAACTATGAAGTGACTTGCCCAAGGTCCCAATCAGTCAGGGGCAGAGCTAGGAATAGAATCTGGTTCTCACAATCCCAGAGCCGTGCTGCCATCTGACCCTAAACCTCATCTCCTGTGAGAGATCTTTTTGGGAATGAGGTCGTGCTAATCCCCAGCTGGAGACTATGGGGAGCGGGAAGGCCTGGCTTGAAGATGCCGGTAGAGTCTGTGCACTGTCTGGATGACTGCGGGGTTCGGCAAAGCCTGGCATAGCTGTATCTTTAGAATCTTCCCAGCTCCTCTAACAAATTCAATGCGATTGCACGCGTGAAGCTGTTAATTGGGAAGGTATAAAAGCGGAGGTGCCGTGTGGAAGTTTCACACCTTCCTTGACAGCTAGAAAGGGGTGAGGGTGGAGACTGACTGAAGAAAGGCTTAAAAGTCTCCATTTGAAGACGGGGAAGAGACATGGCCATTGATTCACCAGATGCTTTGAAGGGCCGCTGTCATCTTGAAATCCCAGACTTGGAGAAGGGCTCGATGTGAGTTTGAAAGCGTCTCTCTCACCCATAGAAATTGATCCAACAAAAGAGAGCACCTCTCTTAGCTTGAAATCTAGTTAGTTCCAAAAAAAGAAGTCTCCAAGTACTTCCAGGTTCTCCTCCTGCCAGTTTTTGTGGGTTTATAATCCTGTTTCCCCATGTAGATAAAAATAATTCTCTCTTGACTGTTCTGGAGGAGATCTGCACGCAGTACAGATGCCGGTTGTAGCGTTGACAGTGCAAGATAAAATGACTCTGGTTTCCTGATGGTTTATCTTTAAGCTGGTTTGTTTATAGGGCTCTTAGGAGTTAATTAGTACACAAATAACGCTGTAAAAAAATCCAGATGGAAGTACGACTTTTATTCAAAAGTTGACCTCCCCTTTAGGATCCAATTAGAGCCAGGAAAAACTGAGCTGGAGTCTACAACAGAGTGGAGTCTCTCCGAATCCCCATTGCTCCCTTTCAGACATGAAAGACTTTCCTAATTGCCAACGCTGCAGCCTCTCCTCTGGAAAGCCACCCACTGGTTCTGCGCCTCACCCTTTCCCAGGAGTGAAGATGCTGCAGTTGGAAGCTGATGGCTTTGCTGATGCGCAAAGCAGAAGACAGTCCAGCTGGCTTCCCCATAACAGTCTCTGCCCTTGCAAGGCGTTATTTATTATCTGTGCTGCGATGGCTCAGGCCCCCTGGTGCTAGGCGCTGCATAAATGCATTCAGGATGGTCCCTGCCCCAGATTGCTTACAAGGTATAAGAGAAGAGACAACAGCTGATTACAGACAGATGGGGAAGGACAAGGAAAGGAGGAGATTATATTGACCAGCATGTGAGGCAGGGGGGTCAGCACACCAGCTGCCTGGGTGCTGTTCAGTTTTTTGTAGGCACAGAGGAAGTTGTAAGATGGGATTTGAAGGAGGCTAAAGAGGTAGGTTTGTGGGTGTTTAAAGGCGATGGCAGAAAGCCTGGAGGTGCTCGTTTGGAAGTGTAACAAGTAGGCGGCGGAGGCTGCCTCGAGGTCTGCTCACAGGCAGGACTTGACCTTTTCATAGTGAAGGAGAGATGGTGGGGGTGGGGGGGGGTGAGCGCGTGGGGTGGGGGAGCAGTGGTTGTGAAGGGCCTTGCAACTGAAGATCAGAAGTTTGTGTCTGATGCAGTGCAACCGGGGTAGCCAGGGGAGGGATGCAGACGCGCAGGGATACAGCCCAGTCGTGTAGCTGGAGGGGGAGCGCCAAAGGGAAATTCTTAGACGTTGTGGGGCTGACAGACTCCACACTAGCCGGAGCAAGGCCTAGGGCACTATGGGGCTAGGGAGGCCCCACCTCTCAGCAGCTGCAGGGCATACTCCAGGTGGAGGGACCCTTAAAGGGGCACTAGTAGCTGTGGGAAGAGTGGCTCAAAAGGGTGCAGTAGCAGCACTGATAAGACCACTCGGGAAGTGGAAATCCATATCCCCCCCCCCACCACACACACCTTTGTGAGCTGGACACCCCCGAAGAACGGGCTGTGCCCCCCGGCAGTCTAAGCATGCCCCAACCGGAGGAACCACAACCCGGTAGGAAGCGACCCAGGAGGGCGTTTAAATTAGGGTGGACCAAGGAGGGGACCAGATCCTGCAATGTCCCTTTAGAGCCCTGGGTTGGGACCCAGTGGAGTGGGAAGGCCTGGGTCCCTTTTCCCCTGCCCCCATTCCCCTCTGTCATGCCAGACTCCCAGGAG